CTCTGACACTCAAGATTGTGCATTTCTAATTATATCTACAAAACTTGTGATATGGCAAAATAAATCGCACTGCATAGCTTCAAAAACAAAAATGATTCAATAAATAATATTTTGTTTTATATTCTTTTAATGCTGTCACCAGTGCATCTTTTGATGTCCAAAACAAATTGATAGTAAACGGGAGTTTACAAATAAATGTTTTTTCAGTGTCCAGTAGGCATAAGTTTTCTGAGTTCGAAGGAAGAAAGGAACCATATTTTGTACACCACTTGGATTGAGTGACAGAAATAGACACAGACTTTCTAACGTCTCAGGAAGGATTTTATTTTGACTACAGCTCATAACCCTATCTATACTTAACTCAGTCAAATTGTATAAAGTTTGTTCTAATCCACGCGGAACATGGAAGCTAAAAGCAATACTAATACACACACAAGAATGTTGTCACAAACATTAGGCGAAACAGAATCACTGTATTTACCTGGATTGGTTACTATAATCAGTATGCAACAAGGACTGTGTCTTGCTATTTGTGGAATCATTCCTGAAACCAGGCGCAGATTAGATAGAAAACGAAGTCCTTTGCAAACCTTTGAAAATGTTCACATTTTTTTGCACTAGATTCAATCGTGATTCCCCCTCCTGTTGTCGCGCTCCGGCCGTCACAAATACAATATCTGAACCAGCCGAGACTGCAAAATCTGTCGAATAACATTTGTTTAAAACAAAAGATCATCCAAACGGCTATGAGAAATCTAGTCGACTCACCTGTACTACCAATCACATTACAATGCCGAACAAACTGCTTCCCGTGCTTCAAATCCATCACTTCTCCTTTAACACGTTCACAAGCAATGTCAACCAGAGCGATTTCGGTTGCAAGTTCCTACTTGACGCCTTTTTCTCAAACCGCAAACACATATTACCTTAACCATGATTGCATATGCAACCGCCATGCCTACAGATCCCACACCGACCACAGTCACTTTACGGCCCTTTTTGGGTAAGGCCTGTGACCCTTCCACCTTGACAAGTACACCCGGCATGGATCTAGTTAGATTGGGATTGAAAGGATTTCTTTTAAATGAATTACATTTTTGAAAAACAAAATAAGAAAAAGCAGATGAATGGCTTGTTTATTTATCATTACATCTGACGCCAAAACACTGAAGTACAGTCATATGTGGACGCCGCAAGAAGTAGTTGTAGAAGTGGAAAATTTTAAAACCTAACAATTAGAAACTTTTGAAGGGTAACTCACAGGAAGCACAAAAGTATGGACGACTTGACAAGTAATTTTTGAATATGCATTCTTTTTGAATACCCACAGCGGTGGAAATTAATTATACAACTCCTACTGATAAGGTAAAAAGCACAAAGATATGGATATTATTAGGTTAGAAACCACTATCTACGCTTGTTTCTGTGGGCAGAGGTTGCATCTCTTTTTGATATTTTTTTTCATTAGCTGTTTAACTTTGATGCCTAATTGGTGTGCCTTTTGGTAAAGGTAAATAAACACAAAGCACTTAATAGTACCATATTGGTTAATTTACTTTAGTTGCAATATTTGGTTGCCTAAATGAGCATTTATTCCTTCAAATCTAATCATCCGCTATTTTATATTTATATTGGTTCTTAGCCTATCACTGGGTTGCGGTTGGTTGGTTGATTTTCTGCAAAACGAAACCAACTTTATCTCAACTAGAAATCCTAGAATATTCGCAACGTTTATATATGTTTGTGATGACCGACAAAGAGCACTGGGCAGCTGTATTGTCAACAGTGCCTAGTGCCTGCGAAAAACCGAATGGGCTAATCCAAACATTCACCATCTAAATTGATTAAGTAATTCTCACAAGGTAATGACCGTCGACCGTGTAGCTCAGGGGCAAGGGTTTGAAGTCCCAACAAGAATGTTGGCAGTTCGAGTCCTAACAAGGACACAAAAAGTACGCACTGCTGACCAGTCCAAACCAGGACGAAATACCCGTCCAGTGCTCTTTGTTGGTCATCACAAACATTTCCAATACACTTAAATACATTTAACTGATGGGGAATTAACGATCACCCAAGGAGTGAAACCCAAATCCACGATCATCAACGGTGTCTGGTGCCTGTAAAAAACCGAACAGGCTGGTCGAAACATTCAACACCTAAATTTGTATCTGTGTTCTGACTTTCACTGGAAGATGAATACAGCACGAAGTGTAGCTTAAACAGCAACCAATCGATCTTTTAAGTTAAAACTTGAGCTGTTCACGAAAACCCTGGTGATAAAACAAACAGTATAACACCTCTTAAAGATTGTTACATTATTATTTAATCATTGAGAAAATTCAAGATTGGCGAAAAGGCTAGGGAGGAAGACGGTTAAAGTTGTAATCATTCGATTGCGCTGGTTACCTAACTTCAACATTAATTTTGACTTTATCATCCGGCAAAAACTTGATGGCGTAACCTTAGGGTGTGACTAACCCGCTTTTGTTTGTGCAGTGAGGGTAGTGAATCCGAACGGCTTCCGCTGCGGCTGTTTGCTAGGCTAGTTTATCGAGGTCATGTAGATGACTTTAAATCCAAACATTCATCATCTAGACCTTAAATTACCTTTCGACATCTACGAAATGCCCTCCGAGACTTAGAGGCTTAAACCACTGAGCTACAGATGATTTCTCTTGTACGTTTTCTCACACAGGCTGGCAGAGACTCATGAATTCTAAGGAAAAAACTACAGAGGCATTCAGTTTACATATCAACTGGTGGATTCACGATGCTTCCGAAAGTCGGGTGAATGATCCAAATGTAAAAAGGTTATTGCTATCGGGTGGCCTTTCAACTCATGTGCTAGAGCAAGTGCGGTACAAAAGTGTACGCCTCGTCATGTGCGAGGATACTTGTATTCTCACAATCCAAACACGGATCAATGCAAAGTGCTCCGTAGAGCAGTTTAACTGATAGACACATACACTCTTCGATGAACTTGTCATCTGAGTTGATACGACTCACGCTGGAGATTGAAAAGTATTCCCTTCCTTAATTCGCTACTTGCGCAAAATGAAGATAGACTACTTTCAAGAAGCGCTTACATAAACTATAGTGGATTGGACAATATGTCAGGTTCTATAACATGGTGCCAATCAAAACACCAAAAGCGTTTTTCTGTCCAATCAGCAAGAATGGTTTGTTCCGTCAGGAAATGGGCAGGTAAAGTGAAGTAACTCCAAAACCCTTTCCGGTAGAATAGATAACCGGAGAAGTTTATCCAACAATGTCTCAAGGCGAAACGACAAAAATAGCAAGCTCTACACCGTCCCTAAAGATAGAATATTTATCACTCTACCTTTTCGTAAAATATTCCCATCGATCTGTAAGAATAGAATGGAAACGTGAAGAAATTTATTTTCAATATATCGCTTCAGGCATTAACATTTATAGCTCGATTTTTAAGCAGGTGAA